GGTATCATGATAACATCTTGTCAGACTATTTAATACAATTAAAAAATAACGTATTATACCATATACTCACAGTTACTAATATTATACAGACTTTGCCGCGTTAGAATACTTTCAAAAATGCAACAATTATAGAATTTCAGGAAAATGACGTGTTTGCATAAAAAACTTTCAGCCAGCGTGCAACCTTCCGAAAATTCTCGCTTAAACCTTAGACAACATTTGCAGAAGTACTGAGAGCAAAAGCGATTATACTTTTACTGCATTTTCAATCTTACGCTCTGCACTCGCCGCCGGTAAATCGTTTTCATCGTTGTCGGAGTCTACGTCCATTTCTGAATCGCATATGATGCCGGGTCGTATTTCAGACCTAGTTCCATCTACGCAGACCTTATTTCCTGTCCACTCCACCAAGTCACCTTCCTCCGATGCTGAGAATGTTGCATTCTCAATTATAGAAGCACCACCTTCCGTATCATCTCTTTCATCCAGCCGTGGTAGTTCGAAAACAGTGCATTTATGCTTTATAGCCACGTCGGCCAACAAATCGAGCACATGTATGCAATAGTCCCCACAACCAGATTTTAGCTTTGAAGGCGGAAACTCGGGTGCCTGTCCCACCAATGATCGAAGAGAATCAAGGATGTTTGCGATTGTGGCATTAGGATCATCGTATTCCTGTGGAATTTCCATTAAAAATCCGGCTTCGTTGATGAGCCATGTAGCCAGGCCTACGAAGGCATTGAATTGTTCGCCCGGATTTGTGGGAATAACGAAATAAAGCTTTGAAAACCCCTTGATCCGATTACGAGAACAGTAGAATTGCTCATAATCCAAAAGTTTTAATTTTTCTAAAAGACTCTCCATCATTTGAAAGGGAAGGAAAAGTGATTGTGGCAGGTTAGCATGGGTAACGATGGAGGTGACGGCAGCCTGTGTTGTCTCATCGTGTTCGTCGATTTCCAACTTTCCTCCTTCCATTCTAAAGAAAGCGCTGCAGAAGAATACCCTAGATAATGGAATATTGGAAACAATGTAAGCATCGCGGATAAGCACCTCGCCCAGTGACACTGTGGTAGTTAAAAAACGTTATCTCTGCACGTACTACTGGTACGTGCAAGCGCCAACATAGCCTATAAAAAAGGTAAAGTATGTGCCTCAGTAATCAAAAGTTGATTTGCTGGTAATCTGACAAGTGGACCACCTACTAAAAAAGAATGGACACATATAAAGTACTCTAAAAATGGTTAGACAATGTGATATGAATAAGTAGGAATATAGGTCTATAAAAATTTATCCTAAATTCGAAAAACAATGTCCCCGAGTGCATATGATGGAAAACAGAAAAACGGATCATTTTTGAGGTTAAAACCATGCCTAGTAAAGATGTTGCTCAAAAACTGCAAAATTTTTCCATGAATTAATAAGAGGTAGTAATACAATGCTCATGCTGACAACTAACGGGCGTTTAAATGGGTTCCGTTGTGGGTTGTTAGGTAGATCTCGCGTTCTGCACATCCTAATTGACCGCTGAGAAGCTTAATCACAAAATGAATATTTTAACAACTATTGAATTTTTAAAGCTTTAAGCATATTATATAATAAATATTTTTGTTTTGTTTAAGTGTTTACTGTGGCCCTTTTTAATGAGTGTGGGTTTCGTAAATTCGGTCTGGGTGCAGTGGTAAGCCTTGGGTATATAGAATTGTAGTTGTTTTACACTCTTACTTTGTGCCAATTTACGTGATTGACTAGTATATCTATGTCATAATATGAGTGTTAATGGATGTTTTGCCAGCGTTCTCTACTTTATACGGTGAAATGGCTTTCTGTGCGATTTTTGATGTCGTGAAGAAAGCTTCGGAGGAGCCTCTGCCTGATAATAAGCATCAGATATTATCTTTGGCAAAAACTGATCAGGAAAAACAGGCGAAAATGGGTGCTGAGGATGTTTCTGATCTCGATGACTTGTGTCATCCTTCAAGGAGTAAATCAGAACGTTCGGCTTGGCTTCGCTATGTATGTACTTATTGTATGTGATTGTCCCAAGTGTTATAAAAAACCAACTGCTGCTGCAGGTGTACGCAGGTCAGCAAATAGTGGCTGCCTCTTGATAGAAGTATCTAAAGCAAGACGTGCTGAAATGGAGGGCGAAAAGGCCCGTGAGCGGCGATTGAAACGGCACGCTACTCAGGGTGTCGTCGCTCTCTTTAATGCTGTACGACAGCACAACTTTGTCTTGGAAAAGCAGCTGGACGGAACCAGCCCCCTTATCTTCCAGAGAGAAAAGGTTGTTACGGGTTTTACTACATCGGACTTCCTTGATCGCCTTTCTGCTGGCCTTCCAGGCGCAAAGGCGAAGACAGCAAAAGAGGTCTCTGCCGTGTCTTGTGTAGGTTGCGCCCGTTTAAGTCCTTTGAATCCTTGTCGTATTTGAAGTCATTTGTACTTGGCCGTTCTAGAATCCTTCGCGCAACACCAAGGTTCAAGTGGAATCAACTTAATTCATTGTTCATCTGGCTTGCACACTTGTAAATGTACTCATAAATGCATTCTTGATCCTCACAAGTGTTCTCTCCTTCCCGATCTCAAGATGTGGTAACTACCACACCCATTTTTTCCTGTTTTAGATTAACTCTTTATGGACACTTCTAGTAATGACTCCATGTGAGTTAAGCCGTATCGTTCACTGCCGGTTTACGGCTTCCGCTATTTGAGCTCATTTATTGTATCGATAAGTAGCATTATGATTTGAATGTGCTTTGCCTCAGAATGAACTTAGGCCGATGGTGTTTTAGTTTTGAGCGCTCGAATCTGTCAGTTACGGATTTCACCTTGTCTTGGTTCGACGACGGAGGGTATGCCCCAAAACTGGGTGTTAATCCCTCTAATCAAGAAACAAAGCAGCTAATTTCAGAGGGGGATGTGTGCCCTATCACTGTAACGGACATGCCGGAATCTACCGACACCTTAACAATTGTGAAGGCTTGTGTGCGCTACGACATCATGGAGCAGATATCCTCCATTATGTCGGACTTGGTCGCCATTGACTTGAAGTATTCAAAATTGGCTCAAATCGACACAACACAGGCTAAAGAGCAAGCGCAGCTATCAACACAAGATCCCGTTCAAATTAAAAGTGGTAATAAAGAAACGGCACTGGAAAGTCTGCACGCCTACACGATATCTGAGCTACATAGTCAATTAAACTCCCTGAGGGGTTACATTCGGGACCTCGACTCCAAGTTCTCTGAAGTAGCGAAGTGCGTGCAGGAGCGCCTAGAAAGGTTAGAGCATTCCAAAAATGAGCTCTCTTGTGAAGTTGAACGCTTAAGAAGGTTTTATTAGTTTGTTTTATATACTTTCTTGCTGTGGCTAATAAAACCAGTCTTCCGTTTGATTTCGTTATAGTTATTTGAATACACACGGATAGTGGGCGCAACTAGGACTCCTTGTGTGCGGCGTTCTTGTCATTGTCAGCGTTACTTGAGGGAGGTTGTTGATTGGTCGCATTTTGCATTTGCTGTCGAAGTGTATCTACCAGATCAGGATTAGTTTGTCGCATCTGTTGAGCGAACTGTTGGCCGCTAGAATCAAAAGAGTCCAGAATTACCAAAAGACATGGCGCGCTCATACTGTAAGCAATTGTAGACTCGCCGGACAATAGCGCATTTCTAGTT